ATCGAGAGTGGCTTCCAATGCGAAGTTATTTTGCCAGAGTCTTCGCCCATCACTTTCATGACTGGCAAAGTCCACCGTAAGAAAGCCCTCGCCAAATGCTCAGCGGCTTTCCAAATGTGTCTTGAGCTGCGGAAGAGGGGTCATCTCGACGCGAATTTGCTGTCAACGATGAAGAAAGCGGCACCGGCCATGAGGAACGCGCTACTTGCAGTTAGTGAGAAGAAGAAGGATCGCTACCCAATGCGAGTTAAGCCAGACATCTGGCAGACGGATCTGGGGACTATCCCCGAACAGCTCTATCTAACGGTCGTGGATGTGGATGCAGGCTTGGATCGACCTCATCAGCCCCTCGGGATCCTTACTCGCGTTCCCCTTCCTCCGTTCCCTTCGTTTCCTATTTACTTGAAAGACGACCGGGCGTCCAATGTGCTTTCGATCCCTCTCAGCAAGCCTCTCAAAGTCACTGCTGAGGCGCTCGAGCGATTCACAAATTTCTTCTTTCTCACCTACAAAGACATTACGAACAAAGCTTACGAGCCCGATATCACCAAGATTTATTACTGGCAAGTACCGATCCTTCAGTCACAGGAGACTATATCAAGGAATGCGAATCCAAAGGATGTGATTGACATGGCACAATTGCGTTGTGTCGACAATCCGAATTATAGATGGACGCCGGACATGCCCATTGAGGAGATCATTGAGCGAGTGGTCAACGTCTACCATAAAGCTGACCTCAAGTGGACGCCAAATATGCTCGATGAAGAACTATCGGATAAGTACATTGTCGATCGTGGTGACGGTGGTCGTCGCTTCTACGCAATTGACGTGATGCCGGACATGAAACCAATGGATCGTGTTCCCGACAACGTTCCAGCGTACAAGTTTCATAAAAACATCCTCGATTACTCTATCAGTCTTTTCAAGAAGCAACGACTTGAAAGAGCGGCAACATGGAACTTGGCGCAGCCTGTCATGCGAGTGGAGAAGATTGGCCATCGGCGCAACTGGTTGGCCATGATTGACAGGAAAGATGACGAGGAAGTGACTGAGATTCAACAAAACACGACCTATGTTTGCCCGGAACCACTTCGTATCTCGCCAGTAAGTATTCTTTCTAGATCTACCAATTCGACTGCTCACCGATTATTAGTTGTCCACTCGATACGTGGCTATGTGCTACGTCTTCCCTGCTATTATCCATCGGCTGGAGGACTATCTTATAGCACTCGAAGCTTGTCAACTCCTCGATCTGGACATCGGCCCTGCGCTTGCCCTTGAAGCTGTCACAAACGACTCCGAAAATTCCGATGAGCATGGCGAAGAGAAGACCAATTTCAAGAGTGGAATGGGGCCGAACTATGAACGCCGTAAGCAATTGCAAGTCACTAATTATAGACCAAAACGACTAACACACGCACGCAGTTGAGTTCATGGGTGATTGTTTCCTAAAGATGGCTACATCAATCTCCACCTTCGTGCAACAACCCGATGAAAACGAATTCGAGTTCCACGTACGGCGCATGCTTATGTTGTGCAACAAGAATTTGTTCAACGTCGCGGTGGAGAAGAGGGGTCTGGTGGAGTATATTCGCACAGCGGCCTTCTCTCGGTAAGCGTTGCATATTTACAAAGGCATTATGGATAGAGCTAACTTATTTAGGCGGACGTGGTATCCAAAGCTCAAACTGCTAGAAGGAAAGGGTGCAAAAGCTGGTACCAAGGCAGACCAGAACCAAGCTATTATGCATTCGCTTGGTGACAAGTCGGTTGCAGATGTCTGCGAAGCACTGATCGGTGCGGCTTTCATGCAACACAACCAACGAGGCCAGTGGAACCCTCAGATGTGGGACGAGGCTGTCAAAGCCGTCACCAAGCTCGTTATGAGCGAAGACCATCTTATGGAGCGCTGGACAGACTACTACGCGGGGTATCAACTGCCAAAGTATCAGCTGGCTGAGGCGACTGCTGCGCAATTAGATCTTGCCGCCAAAGTAGAGAAACAGTGAGTACCACCGTGGAACTTGCTGAGTTCGAGGCTGATCACGGAGATAGGCATCCCTACCACTTCAAGTACCCTCGTCTCTTACGATCTGCTTTCATTCACCCTTCACAAGCTTTTGCATGGGAACATATTCCTCACTATCAACGTCTGGAGTTCCTCGGCGACTCGCTGCTCGACCAGGCTTTCATCATGGATCTGGTAAGACTGCACATCCTGACCTTGGGCATCAGACGAAACTCATATTTATGAAAATATAGTTCTACAACTATCCTGAAAAGGATCCTCAATGGATGACAGAACACAAGACACCTATGGTGTCCAATCAGTTCTTAGGTGCGGTCAGTGTGAAGCTCGGGTTCCATCAGCACATCCGGCAGAACAATAGCGTAAGTACCTCAAAGCCACGCACTCGATAATAGAGACGCTGACTGGACGTTTTAGGCGCTCGAATCTCAGATCTACGAATACGTTGTCAACTTAAAAGAAGCCGAGCGCGAATCCAACGGCGCGGTGGACTACTGGACCACCGTTACCGAAGTCCCCAAGTGTCTGGCCGATGTCGTGGAGGCCTACGTCGGCGCTATTTTCGTGGACTCCGAATTCAACTTCAGCGTGGTCCAGGAGTTCTTCGACATGCATCTCAAGCCTTTCTTCTTGGACATGTATGTCTACGACACGTTTGCGAACCAGCACCCTGCTACTCGTCTCAAGAGGCGCCTCGAAGACGAGCTGGGATGCAAACAACATCGCATCGCTACACATACGACTGTCAAGGCGCTGCCTGGGGACAAGGACCGAGTTGTGGCCATGCTCATGATTCACGATAGGGTTCATTTCCATGGTGTTGCGGTCAGTGGACGGTATGCGAAGAAGAAGGTGGCTGATATCGCGCTTGAAGCTATGGACGGTTTGCCGGAGTATGAGTACAAGAAGCGGTATGGATGCGATTGCAATGAGCCGGTTGTCCCGGTTCCCAATGGTCAGGTGTCCCAGGTTTCTGAGGTGGCTTGAACATGAGATGCGGTCCTGGAGTATTCTGCAAGGCTTTTGGGGTGCATGTTTGTATTGTCCGACACACAGGTCGTGGGTAATCTGTGCCTCAATGATGGAGCAGCAGATCATGTTCAATGCATTACCGGCTTATGGTACTCAAAGTCACTTTATGATTTAGGAAGATCTGTCCTTCCCCGACTGTTAAGGGTAGTCTAGCCGCAGACGATGGGTTCCCATGGAATTATCACGCACTCATACGATCCTAAGCCCCACCTCACGTAGGCTCTGTTCAAATTTCACAAATACATAAAGACATAGTGGATCACGTAGAGTGAATGCGAATGTAAGATAGCAGAATTCTCAAATTCTACAATTCGTTCCATAATCTGTTCGCGAAAAACATGACATGCCAGAGGAAGTAACAGGCCGGAGCTGTTGCAACTACCCCGTTTAACGTGTGATTGTGAGTAGTTCATCATGTACCAACTCAGCCTAGTCCATCCTTCCATCAGAGTGAAAAGGAACTGTTCTCTGTGCAGTTATCGCACGTGCGCGTAGGCAGCCGTGTAATAGTAGTTGCTAATTCGACGAGATTCTGGTGTTGAGGTGTACATGTAACACTGGGCGGATCCATAGAACACGCAAAGGGGTTGCATCGAAGAAAAAGCTGCGCGCGACCTGGCCGTCCGATCCGAGTGAAAAGTAACTAGTGCTCTTCATCCTCGTGTATGAAAATGGGAACGCTGGAAGACGCCTATAGCTCTCCAAGCACCGCACGAGAATGCAAGGGACTGCTAGAGGACGCTTACTGCTCTCCAAGCACCGCACGAGAACGCAAGGGAGTGCTAGGTGGTGCCGGAAGCGCTCTACGCTCCTCGTACACCCTACTCTCGCTTGGTGCCATGATGGGAACTCTATTCCCCTCACGCTCCTCACGAACGTTCGAATGAGACAACCTCCCCCGTCTCCCGGTCCACAACCACAATGTCAGCGCCGACAGGCCAGTTCTCCGGCCAATCGGTCACTTCTTGCTCAAATTCTTCATCCTCATCGCTGTTGTGAACGTCGTCATATTCGTCCATCGAGTCGTAGTCCTCGTCTTCTTCAGTCTCCTCGGACGTCGGTGTTGACGTATCGTTCATTGCAACATCAGCGTTCGCAGACTCGAGGGAAGAATTCTCGTGCATGCCGAGGAAGGCGGACTCAAAGGAAGGAGCTGGCTCGACATCATCTTGATGTACCACTGGCGCCAGAGAAGGGTCGTAATACACGCCATGGGCACCATTTGTACGGGGAGGCCGAGTCCAACCTGCTGGTGGGATATTCTCCTTGTTGTGGCCTTCCGTCTCGTAATACAAGTACTTGTGGAAGGGACAGTAGCTCCAAGGCGTGACTGTCTGCTCCACGAGTTCGCTGGTCTCGTGTAGGCACTTTAGGTGTAGTGCCGCGTCGGTCTTGTCGACGTTCTTCGGGTTCATGCGCTCGATCCAGTAGGGCGCGCAGAATGGGGTTTTCCATTCGAAGTAGGCCATTTGGGGGCAGCCACGTGCGTAACAACGGTATTTGGTCTTGTTGCACATGGTTGTGTGTCACTGAGGGCTCGCACTGGGTGATGACCTGGGGGTTTATATAGGGGAGGTCAATGGATAGCGAGGGTTCGGACCTTGTACTATGCTCGAAAGGTACAAGCTGCTCGGGCGATGAAAGTGCGCTGGACCATTGGCCTGCTTTTAGTGAAAGATATGGCATTGGGTACTCAAAATGTTTCAACCGCAAAATACTGGTTCGGTGTTTGCCTGGTGACAGACATAAGGCAATGTTTACCAGTCCTGTTGCGTATTAGGATGGTGTCAATGCCCCACTTGGTTCGCACACTGATTTTGGATGGATTCTTCTTCTTCTCCGAGTAGTGGACCGTTCGTCTGTGCGAGAGAAAACTGCCAGATATATATTTCTTCGCCAGAAATATTTATCATTGACTCGTCCAACCTAGGGAAGAAAAGGTTGTGTAGTGTAGAGGTGATCACTCTGGATTTTGAAGCACTAGCTTTGCCTTCCGGCAACCCCGGTTCGAACCCGGGCACGACCTTTTTTGCTGCTATATCCCGCTTTTTTAGTCAACTTTGAAGCTTTGCAAGCTTCGCAGGCTTCAGGAAGCAGCGGTAGAACCTTTAAAAGAGAACTTAATTTGTGCTAAATAGTTTAAATTTATAATTCTTGAAAGACATGTTCTTTTCCTTTCATCGCGGGTCATTGCCGTACCGCACTTTTTTAGTACTGTGCTGATAACGTAGAGCTCGGTACCACTGTGCATTAGCGCGCGAAACTGGTGTAGCTTGGATAGTAGCGAGTGAGATCTTAAAAGGAATGAATTAAGAGCAAGTCTATCTTAGTACTCTTTTAACTGAGGGTTAGATACATAATCCTACCTGTTTGGTTGTGCGAAATTGCCTCGTAGTGTATTATACAAAGACCAACATTTGAAACACGATAAGCTACCTAGGACATATATTTGCGTTCCCTAAACTCCTACTTACTACCAAGCACCTATCAGTAATGTCTTACAATGAGTATCACTCAGTAGTACCGATAGTCTCAAAAATTGCCTAAAGTTTCTATTACAAAAACTATCTGTCACCATCCATCAGGCCTTGCCTAGGTAAAAACATAAAGCAAAACTGACATTCTGTCCAAATTGGATAGAGATCTGAGGCGGCTATGAACCGTTGACGACAAGGCACAGATGACCTCATCCAATACCAAGATGTTTGCTTGGTATTCACTGGGCTTTCTTGGATATTCGCTGGGCTCATCCAGGATCTGGGGATTGCGCGCATTTGCTTCTCCCAACTTCAACTGACGTCGCTGTTCAGCCTCCACTTTGTGTCGAGAAACCTCTCCGCGGAGACGCACATACTCCCTGTGCCAGACCAATTTCTGTCGGTAGAATCTCACTTCAAGGTACTTACACTTTGCCAGCAGCTCTGCCCGAATTTCAAGTTCCCGAAGCTCTCGTTGACCCCGCGCCATTTTCTCGATCCGTTTTGCGGATCAAGCCCCAGATCCATACACTCCAGGTTCGGGAAGTACTCCTCGAACCACTCCGTCATTGCCCAAGAGAAGACGACTCCTACGCACCGTATGGCTTGCTTTTGAGCCTGGTTGAGGCCCGCTACCCATGCGCTTTCATGAAACGACCAAAATGAAAGGAAGTGGAACGTGTTCAACTGATACAGGAGCGTGCAGGTCTCTGAATAAACTTGACGAGAAACCTGTGGCAGACAGAATGCGGTGCTCGGGGTGGCATCATATGACTGCTGTCTGTGATCCGCTTGGTGGTGATGGAGTTCGGCGGTCTCTGGAGTGGATTTGGCATCGTAGATTACGATGATGTCGTGTTCGGCATATCTGTCCGATCCCGTACGGCGCTGCATGCGGTTTGGACCAATGCAAATGTCCAAGCCGCCCGGTGCGTAGTGGTAGATATTTGTACGCAGCTCGAGTGTAAGGCGGAGGAATGGAGACGTTAAGTCATGCTTTGTCCTAAGTTCGGTCAGTTTACTTCGTCCGACAGAAAATGTTTGGTTTCCGCACGCTTCTGAAAGTCACAGGGTAACAATATCCTATTTTAGAAGCTGTATTGTATAGCTAGAAATACTTGCACTGCCTCCAGGTGCTTTGGGGTCACTGAAAGGTCTAGCAGACCGTTCTCGAGTAGGCATACCGCATCCAAGTGGAGTGAATAGATGTTGTGGGCGGTGTGGAAAGCGAAGGGTATAAAAGTTAGTCTAAATCTTTATAGTGATAAGCATGTTAGACAAGCCCATTAGCGTCAAATAAGCGAGACCCACCGACCATCAGAGTGATTATCGAGTATCCGTGCCACACACGTGATATCCCCATACGCAAGTGATTCTGTGATTCCTGTTGCTATATAGACCCCGTCACGGCTGTCTCCCAATAACCCATCACTGTCCCTCAACACCATTCCACCCTCGTGGACAAGGACAAGGTCAAAGCAGAACTTCGAGTCCCCAACGATGGCCGGTCTACGATTCCTCGAGAACGGCTTGCTGGACGTATCTGACCCGCCGATCCATTTGCTTCCTATGTGAGTGCACTTCAAACCATAACATCTATAGCCTAACATTAGCCAGTTCCCTAGCGAACTCAAGGTTGCCTCTTCTTCGTCTCCCACTCGAACTACGTCTCAAAATCTTCGATGATGTTTTTGGTGGCTCCCAGGTTGACATCTATAAGTAGACCGAATGGCCAGACCATGTCCAAATATATGACACCAACAAAGCAGACGGTAAAGGGTCTACCAACGAGTCAACTACCTTGCGGCTGTCACAAGTATGTCGCCAGATCTACGACGACACACACATGCTTCCGTATGGCCTACCCACGTTTTCCTTCCACTGGTTCAGTCACTTCAGCAATGAAAGCAAATGGCTGTCGAAGCGTCTCCCAGCACAAAAAAAAGCAAACCGAGACCTGCAGGTCCACTGGACAGAGATGGCCAATCTACACCTTGAGCGCGAGGAAGAGATCATGCAAGATATGATTCGCGTTTCCGATCTATCTGAGGATAGCAGTACTGTCCGCGCCAAGCTGGGAGAAGGCTCTCAACATCCGCGACGGGATCTTGCGGACTTCATGGCGTGCTAGCCGTCCCTGCGGCGCCTGACACTGACCTTCGATTCAGACTCTGCAGACTGCTACACGATCATTACTCAGAACGTTGCGACGCGGATTCTTGCTGATAATATGAGCAAGCATGTGGGTCGGCGTGTTAAGGTGACGCTATGTGAGAATCCGGTATTTGGCTATTTATGCCGCTGAGCTCTGCTCCTGTACGAGCACTCAAGTGCCCGCGGTTTCCAGAGCAGAAATTACCACTATGGGTTCGGGTTTTCTTTTATCATCCTCGACGACTGGAACGGATCATGCGACATTATGTATCCTGTCATTATTTCCTCTATTCGGTGGCCCACGCTACCTAGGTACACCTTCACACGACGACCTTGTCGCATCATCGATTTCCACTGCACGTGTGCCTACGCGCACGTGCGATGAATGCCTGGAGACGGACCCTCTTTTCGGACAGCCTCTTGTTGGAAGGTACATGAGCGAACACTTAGTTAGAAACGGTACCTGAGCAATTAATCTCACATAAACTTACGCTCTCAACCGTGAATCTGTTTCCCTTTTTTTAAACATGCAGACTTTCACGCGCAATAATCTGCCACACTTCTCTGAAATCTACCACCGCCCATTTAGGGTGTCTTTAACGCGAGTTGCTACTGTTTTCAAAGTTACTATTGTTGTTCCTCACCCCATCGTATCTGCACAATTGCGCGTCTAACTACCGTAGGTACGTGCACTTACTGACCTATTAGCTTGGAGCTGTTTTTGGAAAATACCATATATTGTATTTCACCATGTCTATCTATAGATGCTCCATCCAGATGAATCTGAACAAAATCCATCGCGATACTGAGCACTGCAGATTTCTCTTTATTAAGGTACCTTACAGGCTGCTAGAACGCATATGCCTAGTTATAAGGGCTGTAAATCCTATGCTGGCTGCGTCGATCTTATAAATACCTAGTTATTATCTGAGGGTTACGCTTGGGCATTAGACCTTTAAGTCCCAGGTTCTACGAGTTTAGCAATAGCGAGCAGGGCACCAACCTAAATGCGCCAAGAGAATGAGGATATGACCCAGGATTGTGTGATATCGCGACTACGCGGAAACATGGAATCGAAAATCCAAAGCACAGTTGAGAGCGCGATGGGAAGTGGAAAAACTGAATAGGTTCAACAGATATAATCTATACAGAAAAGGGTATACAATAGAATAGCGCCAATACAAATCCGCTCAAAATAACACCAGGCGCCCTAACCCCTCCTAGATACTAATACACAACCACACCCACACCTCCCAAACGAACATCCTCACCAATTCCACGTCCGACTCGCGGCCGAGAAAACCGGCGGCTTCCACTGCAACCTCTCAGGATCAATACTCCTCTTCCCCTTAATCTTCTCCTTCGCCTTCTGCCGATCCCTCGTCTCCATAACCGCATTCGTCAACACCACAACATGCCCATTCTTACTGTACCTCAGCATATTCAAATTCTGCAGCGTGTGCAGCACGTCATTCGTCGTCATCGCCGACTGCGCACCCAGATCCTCGATGTTCGCCTCCGCGCGGCCGTCCATGAGCAAGTCGACGATGATCTCCTGCCAATACGCGCGGTAGCCCAGGAGTCCGAGATCGGAAAGGGGTTTCTCGGGCGATCCGAGCTTGCCCTCGCGCTTGGACAGCAAGTAGGAGAAGTCGATGAGCAGCTTGCCGAAGCCTTTGCGCTGGTACTGCGGGAGGGTGAGGATACACGCTACGTTGTAACCTTCAGCGGACTCTTTCTCTTTGGAGAAGTACCCGACGAGGTGGCACCCATGCTCGTCGCGCGTGCACATGCAGTAGAAGAGGAAGGGATCGACGTCGTAGTACAGCGTCTTGTGGTCCAGGAAGAGTTTCGACAGCAGGCACAGATTGCGACACCACGTGCGCTGGCGGCGCCCGTCGATCTCGAAGAACGAGACGTAGTCGTCGCGGTAGATTTCGTTGCCAGGCGGGTGCAGCAGCGTGCATTTGGAGCGGTGCCGCTCGAACTGCGTGACGTCGCCGTAGTAGCCGAGGCAGAACTCGCAGATGTAGACCATATCGACGTCGACGAAGTCGATCGGGTAGGGCGAGAAGTACCATGGCTCGATTTCGTGGCGGCCCATTTGGATCTTCTCGATGTTGCGGACGCGGGCGATTTCCGTTTGGTTTTGCGTCATGGAGCCTGAGGTGCGTAGCTTTTCGATCTCGTCTTCGCGGGAGTAGGCTTGGTCGGGGACGGCTTTGGCAGCGGCCGCGGCGTCCTGCACGTCGACGAGGTCCATCTCTTCATCTTCAGGCTTGGGCGTTGTGCCATCGGTGATCTCGGTTGTGACGAGTAACTCCTGGTTCTCTTTGCCGCTGGCTTTGGTTGGACGTGCTGCTTTTCCAGGGACATTGTTGCTGGAGGTTTCGGA